GTATTACTAGTGAGTGATGCTGAGTAATCGTATTTAAATAAAAAAAAGTTATCCCCACTAAAAAAAACCATCTTACACAGAAATTAATTAGGTATATACTGCTGTATAATATATCTAGTCTGAGTAATTGTTATTATTGCTGTCTCTGATCGTTGGGAGTTTCGACCAGATAATATATTATGATTTATGTCTTACGAATAAACGATTAAACTGAATAACGCTCTAACCAATAATATTATATATTTATATTTTTTATGATGTATAATTTCCTGCTAAATTATTTAAAAAAAATATAAATTAATCACAGATTTCTATATATAGAAGTATAGAAGTCTGTGAAATTAATTGACACATTATTATCAACTATAAATAATGTACAGAGCGTACAAACTGTGTTCCAACAAAATACGTTATTTCTTTGAAATGTTACATTTACAATTACAAAGAAATATAACCATTCAGGTCGTCCAAGATAAAATAGAGTTCAGATGAAAAATGTTAAAAAAATTTTCAATGGGAGTAATAGGAAAATTGAAAACGTGGACCTTACTTTATATTTGTATATAATCCCGGCATTTTGAGGTTGTTTACTGAATTATTGCATTAAACCAGCAAATAGTAAATGCTGATATAGGTGGTACTTGAAGGTACAAACTACTAACTAGTTAATAACTATATAGTCCTATCAAAATATCAAATATTCAACTTCAAACGTGCTCAAGTTGAATTGATATAAATAAAAATATTGATGAATAGTTGGCGCGATGGCTTTATTGGCTTTCAAATTGACGATCCTTAATTATTATTGACGATCAGTATAAACACTTGTAATTATTAATAAATGTTAGTTAGATCTTTGAATAAATATAATCTGCCGTGTATTGACCCGGACCCATAGAGTAATATTACTCTATGCCCGGACCCGTCATTCAACACATATTGCTATGTTCTGTGTTCTCTAATATCTACCAAAATGTATCCCAAACATAAATCACCAAGTTCCTCTAAAATTTCCCACGGACAATAAACTACTAAAAATGTTGATAGGTATAGTAGGTATGTCTATCTAGCCATTTTACCCATCCTGCCTATAAACGTGTGTCGTATAGGCGTGTCAAATGTTGAATACAAGGTTTTTTTTATTAAAAAAACATTCGGTTTAAGTGAGCGGAGGAAATGGCAAAGGGTCCTCAAAAGTTATTTAAAATTTATTTTACCAAAAATATAAATAAACTAAGTTAGGTCTTAGATATAAATCAAAGACTATATATTAATAAATACTCTTGTCAGATGAGTAGTATATAGATGTAGAAAATATTTAACTGTTAAAATTGTTTATATAGGTAGGTATACCTATAGACGACAGTCGTAACATAGTGGCGAATATATCCTAGTTCTGAGGGGTGGCGAATTTCAAATCCACAGAGGTAATAACCTTCAACCCCTCATATTATTTATATTGTAATAATGTATAGTGGTGAAAATCCCAAGGGGGGGGGGGTCGTTATAACAGCTGGTACTGTTACAAGATTTAGAATAATATGTCATGTTGTAGGTATATATTGTGTATACATAATTATGCTGTATTGCTGTTTTTTTTATCTAATCCAGTGTCACCATTTGAGAAGGGAATAGGGATGGGCTCAGGGGGGGGAGGTGATAGCAGGAAGGGTGTACTTTATCACAGCGATTTTTTCCTGCGTGTTATTGGCCACTGGCCAGCTATAAAATTATTTACAACCAAGCCAGTCCCAGCGATGGTCGTTCATAAATTATAGGTATTACTGTATTAGGAAAACTATAATGCTTAAAATATTATAGTTCCTATGTAGGTATGGAGGACGGAAGTATACTTTATGTTTACTATGTTGATGAATTATAAATGTATTTGGTATATTATACATTAATGATTACCAAGATTAAAGATATACCTCATGTATATGTGATTATTACCCTATGTCGGGCTATGCACTTGGATCATATATTAGTAAATAGTAATGTAGTATATGATCTAAGCATGGGCGGATAGGTACTTTTTTTTTTACCGGGATATATTTATTGGGGCCTCATATAACTAGGGCCTATATATTATATATAAAAAAAAAAAAAAAAATGCTCGCTTCGCTCGCAATACCTTTTACAATGAAATCATATTATATATTACGTACTAAAAAATAAATTTAAAAAAAAATATAATTATTAAAATAACAAATTTTTAAATGTACTATTCCTAGCAGCTAATTTATTGATCACATCATTTGAATCAATTGTACTCAGTAAATCTTTTTCAATATTCATAAGCATTAAACTTTCTAAAATGTCTTGGCCTAATGTATTTCTCAAGTAGTTTTTTATATATTTCAATTTAGAAAAACTCCTTTCACATCCTAGTATCCTACTTGTGTCACGGATAATGTCAGCATTAGTTTATACGCAACAAACAGACTGGGATATGCATTTGTGTACAAGTTGTACTTCACGAGCAAATCAAAGCAACAAACTACACAATATTTTGCATTAGTGTTTGGATTATGACTACACGATACTAAAAGTTCATCATCATTTGAACATTCTAAAAAAACAAAATTAAAAATTAAAATTATATTATCAATATTAAATAGGTAGGTAAATTAATATATTTATAAATAGTTATTTTTGTTATTAGGTACCATCAATATTTTCATCATGGTCTTGTAGTTCAGTATATACACAGTCAATATTTTTTTTTATTTCTTTCCATTTTAATATGAAGTCTATATATTCATTTCGAAAGTCTTCAAACATAATTCCTGGACAATAATTGCAAATCTTGTCAAACACACCAATAAGAGCATTTTTTGGAAGTGTTACATCTGGTTTGAAATTATTAGGGTCAAGACATGCAAAATCTGCACATAACTGTCCATGTTTTTCGAATCGTGAAGAAATGCTCTCAATAACAGTGTCCAGTACTTGATTGTAAATATTAACTTCATATGAATGCAATGGGTCTGTTATAGGATATCATCATCTGCCTCATAATCATGAAATTGCTTAGTTTTTTTTTTTTTTACGAGATTGTGGTAGACTATTTGCGATCTCTATTACATTATTTTTCATTTTTTGAAACATTTATTACGATACAATATATTTATATAAACGTAGATACCAGATACGTCATAAGTAGTTATAAGTTATAGTTATCACTCATGGACAATGTAATTTATATCGATATACTTACCTATATATAACCGATTGATTATTATTTATTATTATGGTTGTTTATTTTTGTCATTTGAACAACGAACATATTTATTTATATTTACATTTTATACATTATTTAGTTTTAGTAGCATTATAGTAAATACAACAAAATAGGTACATATTATACATTTATACGGGTATCAACGCGTATTACACAGAGGCCCCTAATAGCTAATGGTATATACAAAAATTACAAATACGCAGCCGCCAGCCGGAATTATTTTACAGTCTCATAAAAATTAATTTTTTTTTCGGGGTTGGGGCCTCAGAGCATAATCCCGATTTCCCGATAGGCCTATCCGCCCATGGATCTAAGCCTTAGATCTAAGGCTATGCATGATAAAAGCTATTTCCGAAAACCAACTCTCAAATTATTTTAATTAAATAATTTAAAGAAAAACTAAGCCTATACGACTGCACGCATTATTACTATAATGATTAAAATGTTATGAGGCTATGAAAATAAAATTGGCGCTTTCAAATTTTGGCACCCGCTGAACCCCTATTTAAAAAAACTCGAATGGCGCCACTGATCTAAGGTATGTCCATAGAATAAATACAATTATTAATTTTTAATTTTCATTCTTAATTAATTTCGTACTTATATGACTATACGACATTGCCTCAAGCCCACAAATTGTTTGATGTGCTGGCCGCATTATTTTTTATTATCACGATTCAATTTATCATAATAAATTATTGTCAATTATCGTACAATCACTACAACCTACAACTGTCTACTTGCAATATTGGCAACAGATGACATTGTGTCGGCAAGACGTCGTGGTAACCACGATTACTGATAAACGTTTATCCACAATCGCTAGTCTGCGGGGACGGGAACTATACTAATAAAATATAAATTAACTATATTTAAATAATTATACAGGTTATAACTTATAGCCACCGTATGATAATATATATTATAATAAGACATACAATTAACTCATTCAGTTGAACTTCTAATCTTTTTGATTAATTAAAATCATTTCATTATTTAATGGTACCTATTTTATTCGCTTTGTCATCGAGTACCTATCGACTATTTAGAATTTAGATAGTTATACAATCATCGCAATCGGAATTATTATAATCGCATGAATGATCCGTAATATGGAACATGTGAAATGTGAGATGCGACAGACAGTGTCACTCTGACCTGACAGTGGCAACGACCACAAAATCAAAGTTCCGATGAATGCATTGTGCTCATACTATTTTTTAGTGTTACCAGTTTAAACTATAAATAATCTTCCATCTACAGATTTGAATGTCGTTATGTTCTTAATATGAATTTTGAATTATATCATTCATCTGTAGTGACTAGTAATATCATCAGTTATGTGACAGTTCATTCAATTGTAAAAAGTAAGCACCGATAGACAAATTGACAGACATACAGTGAGAATAATTATAATTTTAAGATATACCTGTAGAATATTGTTTTGATGCTGGAGCATGATTTGGCATGTATTTAATATTTTTACATACTATTGTGTAATTTCATATTATACTCACTGTTAGTTAAATAATATTTGTTACCTATTTGTACTCTCCTCTACTTACAATAATATCTAAACGGATAGTGCTGTAATGGAATTTGGCAATGACCTATTAAACCGAATTGACATTATTAATTGTTAGGCACTAAATTAATACATTTATATCAGTATAATAGTTACCATTTATTTTATTAACTATTGCTTCGTTGATTTCAGGTACCTATTTATAACGATTGCATTATAACAGTGACCGCGATGGCGTTCGGTGTAGTCGATTATGTTGTGTTTGGAATAATGTTGGCAATGTCTGCTTCGATAGGCATTTACTACAGATTTACCGGCGGTAAACAGAAAACCACACAGGTAAATTTTTATCTACTCGTTGATATTATTTTCAATTTCTATTATTTTTAAAACTAATATCTTCAAGGAATACATGCTGGGTAACAAAAATCAAGGTATTGTACCAGTCGCATTTTCGTTGATGGCCAGTTTTATGTCTGCTATAACGTTATTTGGCGTGAGTGCGGAAAACTATTATCATGGTACACAGTTTGTCGCCATTAATATATCTTATGTCTTGGGAACTCCAATCATTGCATATGTATTTTTACCTGTATTCTTCAAACTTGGAAATTTATCAGTTTATGAAGTAAGATGTTATTATTGTTATTGAAAGTAGAATAGATAAGTTTTGCTTTTATTTACTTACAATTTATTTATTTATTGTTCATATATTTACTAGATATTTAGTATAGTAAAATACTTGCAGAACTAAAAATATTTACTTGAGTACGTAGGTACTTATAACATGTATTTTATATTTTCAGTACTTAGAAAAAAGATTTGGTCGATGGACAAGGACCGTTACATCTATAGCATTTAGCGTGCAAATGATACTTTATATGGGAATAGTTTTATATGCACCGTCATTGGCTTTTGGAGCCATAACTGGATTATCAATAACCTCTTCTATTGCACTAGTGGGTTTAGTATGTATATTCTATTCAACAATTGGAGGAATTAAAGCAGTCATTATTACAGACGTATTTCAAGTAATTATTATTCAATCAATATAATCATGGTCGACTATATTTTGTTAACTGTATTATCTAATATTTTGTTGAACTTATGAACTATTTTTCTTACAATATTATGCCTACTATTGATTGTTGTAATAGTTTTATAAATATAAATTTTTGATTCATTCATATTTATTAATTATCTTGGGTGTAGTGATCTGTTTGATGGATTTAATATCTCCAACATTTGGTAATAGGAAAAAAAAACCTCAGTATAAAAATTAACTAAATTACTATAATTAGTATGCTTAAATGTAGCAGTATTAGAATAATAATAAACTTTTTTTGCATATGTTATAATTAGACTGTGGATTATGTGCAGTGTAAAAACTCTATTATATGTATGGAAATATGCACTAAAAATGCTTGGTTAATGTGTTTAAAATACCACATTCGAGTATAATTTTGAATTATTAAATTTCATAATATCATTAAATTATTTAAATTAAAGTTATATTATTCAAAATTAAAATCAAAAATATACTTGAACAAAACATAGTATTTTAAACACTTAAACCAAGTATCTGTATTTAATTTTTTCTAATCTTATATATTTAATATTTTGAATTTAATCAAATTAAAAAAAATATATTTATAAATGAGTATGTGCTTAATTCTTAAAATACAATATAATATCTATATAAGCATGTTTTCTGGAAGCTTCATTTTATTTTATATTATAAATATATAGCTGCTATGACACCTTTATTCCAAATAATAGGAACAGGTTTATCATCTCATATTGTGTACCTAGTACCTAAATTGGGAAATCACTCTCAGCTCATATATATATATTTAAATAATGCCATTATACCATTTACTTTACCTTCTATAATTTACTTAATTATTAAAATTATTAATTATCATTAAAAAACTACAAAAGTCAAACAATTTTTATATTGGGGATTTTTTTTCTGAAATTCAAAATATATACAGTTACCATAATGTCATATTGGATTTAATATTATTGCCGAGTTCACACTAGTCTGTAAAGTCGTTTAATATGTTTGTAAATGCATATTTATTCACATATAATATATAATAACACTAGTTAACGTCTTAGCGAGAACTCGGCTTGATACATTTTTTTTAATGTCAAACTTTATTTGTTTCAATTAAAATTTTAGTCATTACTTATGTTTGCTTCAATATTTGCTGTAATTGGAGTTGCTATGTATGAAACTGGTGGAATATCACAAATTTGGAAGATTGCTGATAAATATGGACGAATTGAATTTAATAAGTACTTTTAATTTAAAATTAAGATAGAAAATAGAACATTAAAATATGCATTGAATATTAATAAAAATTAAGTCCTTATTGCACAATTCTAAAATATTTTTGTCTAAAATTGTAAAAATGATTTTAGTTTTAATATAGATCCTACAGAAAGACATAGTTGGTTTAGTCTGGTGATTGGTGGTATGTTTACCTATGTTTCATTGTATGCAATTAATCAAACACAAGTACAAAGGTATTTAACCATGAAAGACTACAATACAGCTGTGAAATCTTTATGGTGTAGCTTACCCCTTTTGTCATTGCTATCTATTTCAACAAGTTTTTCTGGGTTGGCAATGTTTTCAAAGTACTATGACTGTGATCCAATCAAGTATTCAATTTTGTTATATAAATTTAGAATAACATTGTAACACAAAAATTTTCAAAGGTCAAAGCGTATATCAAGCGGGGATCAACTGATGCCTTTGTATGTATCGGATACTATGGGATCAATTCCAGGATTAACTGGATTATTTGTTGCTGGTATATTCTCAGCTGCATTAAGTTCTGTTTCACCGGTGCTTAACTCTTTAGCTGCAGTTACAATGGAAGATTATCTTAAGGTATACATTTTAAATTACTATTTTTATCAATTGTTGTGCATATTAAAATAATAATTTACTGTTCTATAATATATTTAGCCTTTTATGAAACAAGATATTTCTGATAAAAAACGAGTATTTTATATGAAATTATTAGTCCTTGCCTATGGTGCAATTTGTTTGCTATTAGCTTTTTTGAGTCAATATTTGGGTTCAATACTACAAACTTCATTGGTCATATTTGGAGTGATTGGTGGACCAGTATTAGCAGTATTTACACTGGGAATATTATTACCTCATGTTAACCAAAAAGTATTTTACTTATACTATTTTATATAACAAACTTCTAGCAAACAGTAAATACTATTTAATTATTTTAGGGTTCATTGACTGGCCTTGTGATTGGTTTGATATTTTCATTTTCAATTGGTTTTGGTAGACCTGCAGCCAAAAATTTGCCCACATACATAAATTCATGCCCTGCAGTGCTAAATCAAACCATCCAACAATCTCTGTTGTTACATAATGAGTAATTACAACTTAATTATATTGTTATTTGTTTCTATACTTGGTGATCTTTTATCATAAAACATTCATTATTTCAAAAATCTTATCAACATTCTTAATAATATTTAAGTGTTACTAAACAAAATATTTGAAAATAATATTATATTTTTTATTGTTAGTTTTTTTGAAAGTTTTTTACTCTTTTGAATTACAAAATAAATTTTTTATTTCATATTCCAAAACAGAATTTTATACAGATAATATTACAGATAATTAACTATAAATATTAAAAGTTTAGACGAGTTGAGTAGTGCACACTGGAAAAAGGACTAACATATTGTTTAGTAACGATAAATATCTAAAAATAATATTTTCAATAAAGTTGAAATAATGATTGTTCTTTGATAAAAGTATCATAATATAAAGCAATGCATAATAAATGATTTTCCATCAATCACTATGTAAACATAATTTAATTATATTTTTAACTATAGTATAAAGTAACTTAATTTATCTCAAACATATTACTTTATACTTAACAAATAAAAATGTATAAAATATAGCCGTTTTATACAACCACTGTCAGATTTTCTTTACATATCATTGAAATTAAATTATCAAAGAAATTAAATATTAAGTTAATTTTTAACTAATTAAATTTGATTTTTTTTTAAGGTTATCAAATGATGATTACTATTATTTGCATCGCATTAGTTACATGTATTGTATAGTTCTTGGATTTATGGTAACATTATTAGTTGCACTTGTGGTTAGTTCAATTTTCAAAGAAGAACATTGTGATAATCCAGATTTGTTTACACCATTTGTTGCCAAACGATTAAGGAAGAGTGGATTATTGTTAAAAAAAAAATTTGGCGAAATGGTTTGTTTTTAATAGTCACATTGTTATCTATCTATTTTTTGTTCTTCTATTGGTAATGATATATTATTGTTACTGTTTTACAGGATATAAGAAGTCCAGATGAGTTAAACCAAATATTAAGTTAAGATGAATTTGTTACTTTTATTTTTAAATTACACATTGTTGAAGATCTTTTTACATTAATATCATTGATACATATTATGTTTTATATAATTAATAATAATGATAAAACTTTTTTGAATGTTTATTATTCAGTTGTTATTTTTGAAGACCTCTATTGTTGGTTAATCTAGGAGGAAACTGTTCAAAATAGTCAATAGACCAACGAGAGTTATTAATGTACCTTTATATTCTGTCTTTTATAGAATAACCTTAGGCAACGGCAATCGAACAGCTAATAGAACACTTCTGAAAGTGTCACTTTATTATTTTCCAACAAGCGCCTAGATTTAATTGAGTAATGTTGACTGACTGTACTGGACAACAATTTGTCACTGCCCAAGGTTACTATTATGCAAGAAAAATTATAGTAGACACTAGACAGTATTGACAATGGAACCAATTGTCCATTGTGACTATTGTAGATAGTTGTACTATCTATAATGTATAATGTCACATGATTGTTGTCTTAACATTGGAATTCATAAAATCATAATTATGAAATAACGGAAAAACCAACCGTGGCGTCATTTATAGGGGCAGGCAAGATTGGCATTTGCCCGTCTGATTTTAAAACAGGTGCCCGGTGGTTTTTGATTTATATTAGCGCAAAAACATAGAAAAATATTATATTCTATAGGTACTAAGAAATTACTGTCACAACAATAAATTGGTATTTAATAATTAATAGTTGGAATATATTTATATTTAGACATGTGTGGACGTGCTGAAAGTTTGTATGTTAGTAAGTATGTGTCTTATGAAGGAAAAGGAACATCATATATTAATATGTGCTTGCGAGAGTTGTTTTTTAAATTTAGGGCCATTTGGGATGGTCAAAACGTTTGCTCTACTATTTAAAACTGAAATTAGGACACTGTTTTTCATAATGTAGGTATCAATTCTGGTAAGATAAAAGGGATCGTATCAAAAACATACACTTAGTAAATAAAGCCACAAATCATCTTAGATGAATAAATTTAATTATACAAGTTCTAAAATATATTTACTATGTAATTAATTTCTATTATGATTTATACTAGATAAGATATAATAGAACTGATACAAGTATTTTATAATTTAAATTTATTTATGTTTTGTAAAAATATGAACACTATACAATTTAATTACTAAAATATAAATGTAATGTACAATTTTGTGCTTGAAAATATATTAGAATTAAATAATGATAAGCAATATTAAATAGATTTTTGGGTTTTATGATAAAAGTAAAATATAAATAATTGATATAGTAACTATACTAATTAATAACACAATAGGTAAATAATAATGTATTATACAAAATGTAATATTAACTAATATTGGCCAAATAATTGCTTCATGGGAACATAGTAGGAACCATGACGTTTAAGCACTTTTTGAACTTTAGCTTTTAATCTGCTATAAGCTATATATAGTGGATCTTCAACAGATAATTGTATTTCCTTGTTTCTGAGCAACACTTTGTCAATGTCAAATAAAAACAGGTAATATCTTAATTGAAACAATAGTTGGCAGACTGAATACTAAAAATATAAAAGTGTATATCAAATTAGTTAATCATTCATTAATTAAGCAAATGAATACATTTTTTATTGAAGGGGAACATATAATATGATAAATGATAATATATTAAAAAGTTATAAATAACGATTTCAGATTATTTCAAGATGATTATATAGTTGAAATTATGCCAAGTAAAATGTGTTTTATAATATATTTTATTGTATTATTATTTATTACATATACTTAGTGATGAAATTATTTAGGTATATATTACATTTTAAACAACCTTCGACCATGTGCTTAAAGAAATGTTTCGATTTCACTTATTATTCATTAAACTCTCAAATATTGGAGAAAAATAGGGGGAACGGAACCATGGATAAGCAAATTATGTAGTTAATCAACAAAATACTACTTGAAACATAAATTGTATCAGTATATTATTAAAAAAATATATTATGTAATATTAATTAGTATTTAAAGAAAATGAGATAAGTATAAATTCTATTTTTACTTAAACATTAATTTACTATTTAATACATTAACTTTTTTTTTTTTCATAAAAACATATTATATTGTACCCATAAACCCTATTTATAGAACTGTAGACAGAGACTGTAGAGCCATGCTAACTTTCATTTGCGCCCCTATTAAATAAATATATTTAAAAATGTGTGGCCCTTCAAAATGTTACAACTTTTGCTGCCCTAAGGAATGTGCCTTATTTGACCCCCTTTGGCTGTTTCACGGAAGATCACTGATAATTAGCAAATGGATGATCGAGAGTTGACTATTAAAAAATGTATGTTACACGAGGGAATGATATGGTAACAAATTTCTAGTTACCAAGACTATGATATTTGAACATGTTTAAAATACTTAATACATAAACCACTAACATGTAAGATTAAAAATATTAACCGAGATTCTTACTTCTTTTTTTAGCGTTCCTGATTCACATTGCATACAAGTTTCATCACTTGTTCGGGGTATATATTTGGTTTTATAATCACATGTACTATTGTCACATACATAATGGCTCTAAAAAAATAATTAAATAAATTATAGTTGAGCAATGCGCAAAACACACACATATATACAGTAAAACCTCTGAATAGTGAACACTTTTAGTCACCGAAATGCTGTTTGCTATTTAAAGGGGCTGAATGTTTGAATTTCATAAAGGGTAAAATGTAAATATAATATTAACTAACGAAATAGATGAAACATTGGCTGTCAAGACCATTATTATTTATGTCATTTTATGTTGTCGTAATGTTACTGTAGTAATTATTTGTGTTTTATTAACGTCCAAGTTCCCAAACGTCCGCTATTGAAAGGTTTTACCATACATATAATATCATTAAATAAAATGTAAAAACCAATTAATTACCCTATAAAACTTTATCGTATTCTTTCTTATAGCTGACCATAAAGTATTTTCCATCATCCCAATATATTTATATGGTGAAATAAAACATTCTGAATTAGAACAGTTTTCTAAGGAAAATTCTAATTTACCATTAGCCTAAAATATTAAATTAAATTAGTTAAAATTATATTTTTTATTGAGATAAATAATAATCAAAATAATACCGTTTTAATTGCTGGTGCAAATATTTCTACTTCGGTTTTACAGCCAAGACATTTGAATTTAAATCTAAATTGATGATTTAAAATATTAATTAATTCAAGATAAAATAATATTGATGTGCACATCATTAGGAATTGTACTCACGGATCACAACTACTAAATCTTGTTGCATCATCTAAATCAATTGCATTTTCTTCAATTGAATTCACATTTGTCCTTTGATTTTGGTACTGCGTGGGATCAAGACCTATAAAAAAAAAAAAAAAAAAAATAGATTTTGCAAATTCATAATATAGCTATAACCAAACCTAGACATTCGGCAATCATTTTAGCATCAATGTCTTCTAATGGTGCACATAGTCTCATTATTACTGGATGTATTTGTTGTGATAAATAATACTTGAAATCGATTTTTAAAGTAGTATTATTTTTTAGCTCGTCTATATGATAAACTCTTTGATTTGATGCAAAATTTGTTCCATCCTATTGAAATCATAAGTCATACCAGATATTTTTAACTACCGTTTATCAATCTATTTATCTTTAAAAATATAAATCTAAACTTACTTCACAAACCACATATGATACAGTATCACCTTGTCTAAATTTAATACTTTGTTTGTTAAGCCGTTGAGCAATGGCTACATGTGGTAATGCTTTAGAATCTGAGTAATCTTGAGGCGCTTTAGTTAATGTTTTACTGATGGCCAAAAGTCCCAACGGAATATTATTTCCCTCGCAATCAACTCTAAGTTTTTCCAACTGAGCACGAATATTTGATACTCTTTCTTCAGGAGATTGATCAGATAATATTTGTCTCAAGACAAATCTATAATAATAAATGATGTTTAATTAGCAACTATATTACCTATTATTAATATGGATGAATAAAAAGATTAATTTTACCGCCCAGCTTCTTGTGATAGTTGTGACCAATCCCTTCTTACAATATCCAACCCTTTAATCTCTTCCTTAGTTATAAATTCACCTGAGGGAAGTTTTGATATAGAAATAGCAGCATATTTTTTTTTTTTCAATAACAACATGTATTTAAAAATGCCATCAATATCTAATTCCACTTGTTTGTACATTTTATTGACTTCAGCTTTAATCTAACATCAAATAATACATATTTAAAAATGAGAAATAGTATACTTTATAAAATACACACTTTATAACCAAATTTCATAACTTGATCATAGTCAACACAGTTTGAGTTGATCATTAATGAATCTGTATCTCCATATATAACATCAAATGATAGTTTCTCAACTAATGCTTTAGTACTAATTAATATTTCTCTTCCTTTAGCGGTAATTAATGCAGCCAATGGCTTAGCATAAAAACGGGAATGAGTAAATCCCAAACATCCATACATACTATTGGCTGTAAGTTTGAGTGCAGTTTGCCTCAAATTATACTATAACAAAAATAAAAACTTAAGATAATCAAACATTGTATAAAAAATATATCTAATGGCTAATATTCATATTTATATTAAATTTTAGTCTACAACCCTAAAATGCTAACCATTTGTTTATTTTTTAAGAACACGGAAAATTTTATTTTTGCCATTTTTATGCATTTTATCCAATATCATTACGCCTATCTTGTATATCTCATAGGTATATTAAGTTCTATATTAAGGTATACTACGATCTAGCATGTTCAATGTCTTTGCAGCATTTGTTTGTTTAAGAACTACATCGCCAATTCGACGAATAGTAAGTAATCGTAGTATATTTGTGTTCATTTACTCGACGAAGAGTTAATAAAATTTTTATAATTAACTGAAGATTGGATGAGATCAAGACTTTCTATTACTACATTGGCTAAAAATTTTGAGAAAAATATTGAAGATAGTTTAGGGATAAAAGACAAAGTTCAACTACAATCTCAAGAAACAGAAGAGGGACCATCAATCAACAAAAGAAAAATGTGCAATTTTTGTAATAATAAAAAAGGCAAATTCTAAAAACGCGATGTGCAACATGTAAAAAACATATTTTTGGAGAACATCAAAAGGTAACTTGTCCAATGTGTAAAGTAACCTGTGAATTAGCATTTTATATTTACAAAATAAGGAAAAATGTTTTTTTTACTAATATTATTAATAATAAAATTATTTAAGAGATTAATTATTGCATAAAGTTTTTATTAATTATATTTTTAATTTATTGAATTGAACCAATTAAAAATGGTTCATAATATTTAGTTAGTTCATAATATTTAAAGTATTCGTCATATTGACGAATGGTTAAAATTTAAGTCTGATAAATATGGTTAGTTATCTAGGGTTAATACAATATTCATAAATAGTAAATACAATTTATATTATATACTTTTTTGTTTCAGTTTTATTGAAAGTATTAATTGAATAACTCCTAAAGTAATAAACCTTTTAGTATTATGTACATGAACGATACACATTTCATCTTTATAAAATAAACTAGATGACCATAGAAATGAAACTAAATTGTCAACTACTGACACCATAATTATGTTATGTTAAAATTAAAATTAGTTTGATAATAAAATATATTTAATCACCTGCTCTTTAAGTGTAGCTGATATTTTTGGATCATTCATTAACTTCTTTACTTCTCTTCGTGAGTCCACCAACGACTTAATTTCGGCAGGTAAAATACCACGAGCAACAGATTGATTTGGAGTTAATTTCAATAATTCAGCTATTTCATCATCACCCTAATTTAAAAAAATAATTTGTTAATAAAATAAACATAATACTTATTAAATAATATAATTTATATGAACCTCTTGAGCAAGCAATGTTCGAAAGCTAACTGTAGTGAAGCAAATATTGTATTCTTGAATTATACTTGGATAAAGTGAATTGAAATCCATTAATAATATCATTTTGTCATAAAAACCAATTTTTGGATCAAGTACAAGACCTCCTAAGTATTGAGCTTTTTTACGTCCATTTTTTTTAGTATTCTCTTCTTCTACATTATCTTCATTCTAATTAAATTGATAAAATATTAAAAAACAATTATAATAAATAATATATATATAATATATGCACACATATAAAAAAAAATAATTTACTTTATTTGTTGATCTTTTTTTATACTGTTTATCAGGGAGTATATAACCTTTTTCATTAAAGGCATGCAATAGTAGATACTCATTCCTTTCTGCACGACCACCAATTAGGGTTCTGGATAGTAAATTTCCAGCAACTTTAGTTATTTGAAGTGCTAAAGGCAGTACATTCATTTGACACATAAGTCGCATTATGCATGAAGTATCCATAATTGTAAATTTGATGAGCTGCATTAAAGATACAGCTGAACTGAAAATATATATTATTATATTCTTTAGTCTTATTTTTAAGATATTAATTTATTCTAGTAACATACCAATACATATAACTAACTTCATCATCAGATAAATTAAACTGTTCATTTTCTTTGACATTGAGAATCTATAAATTAAAATTAATAATAATATAAGAACAGATTACAGAGAATAAACAGAGTGAGGTGTTAGACACTTGCCTAACCAACCTTACTCATATGTATCGTTTACCGTTATTATTTAAAATTGCATATAAATGATAAATCATCTAACATTAAAAATTATGGAGCAAAGCGCAACTATTTAGTATTAAAAAACGCTTATATGGTGTTAATTAAAATATTAACATTTATAAATTTTAAAATTTTAATAATTGTTTCATAACCATAATTTATATCAATGAAAGAAAGGGCTCAACTTCATATGCTTAAACCAGTGACGTTTAATACAGCTTGGTAATAACAAAACTTGACACTAAAAAATCGTACCTTATCGGTCCACTATATTGTAAATATAAATAGCAAAAAAAAAAAAATGAGTTAAAAAAATTCAAACTATCAAGGTTTTCAAAATGTAGTGAAAAATGAAAATGTTCAAGACATTTTCAGCTTTAAATTTACATTTAAGTAAGAAATAAAAACTAGAATTTTATTTATAAAGTTATAAAATATATATGTTATTATGAGCTGAATCCTTATTAATATTTATTTGTATGTCCATCATAACTAAATTAATCACTATAACTTATAACTATTTTACAACCCAAGGAGATATTTTGTGAAGGTTTAAATGTTCCAAGAATTTTAAAGAAAAAACATACGATAATGTTAATCTAATAGTTTCTTTGCTCCGCTCAGAATTTTAAATGATAATTATTATTAACTATTCATTTAAAAATATAATATACCTGTTCGGATAATGAGTATAAATCATAGCTTCTTGCTTTAATCAATTCTTTTGCAGAAATTTGAGTATCACAAATCAATCTGCCACTGAGCACACTTTTTTCACTCATAAATTTCCCCTAAAAATTAAATTTAGTTAATATGTTGATATATTGATATATTAATATATGTAATAATTACTTTTTTGGGAAATAAAGTCCTGCGAAGACGACCTATTTTTGACCAGTTTTGTATTTTATTTGCTTCTAAACGGCCTACAAGTGTGGATAATATGTAACTACATATATCATGTCCAATTATCATATCTGGATCAATTTTGGACAACTTGGCAAGAAAAAAAGTTAGCAATGCTCGTTCAGAATCCATTTTTATAATTTTAGAAGGATCTCCACATTTTTTCAATTCTTCTTGATATCGAACTGGCCATGGAATGTTACTTGGTCGTGAAATTGCTAATTTAAAAATGATATTTTAATTACAAAAAAAAAAAAAAAAATAGTATTAAACTATCGATTTACAATATAATTTAATTATAAGGTCATCAAAAAGAAAAACATTAAATACGAATTTTGAATATGCAGATAATAATAAATTGTATTTTAAAGGTAAAACAATTTACTAGAAAGTAAAATAATATAAGTAACTACATATTAAATAATATAATATAATTTTAATCACCACAAAAAAACTGATTATGTTGATGAGACGGTGGAGCTTGATCTATTGGGAAATGTGTATGCACCAAACAACTTATAATTATTATTTCATTTTGTTTGGTTTTTCTGTTATATGTAATTCTTGGATTTAAAGTCATTATAACTATCGGTGGTGGTGAAGCAGTAGGTGCCAATTGTATATTTTTCATATCTAAACACAATACCTATGAAGTATAATTTATTAAACATTAATTGGTGAAATGCAAAATGAGGAGCAACTCAATGTATATAAATATATACATTATAATATATACCTCGATTTTGCACCAACTCATAGGACTATTTGAAAGTTGAGGAATTTTTATGTCCAACCAACAGGGTCCTTTAATCTTTTGATCTAAGAGCAGAAGCTCTAAGAATGAAGTATTAGTACCAAATACTCTGCTAAATGTTTTACCACTTAAATCTTCAGGCAAAGGTGGATGGGAAGCCTAGAGGAATTAAAAAATATATCTATTTATGACGCTTGTTATTTAACATGTATATAAATATTTACTAACAGAATATCTTATCTCTAAATATTCACTCTCATCTGCGACATCAGCTAGATCAAATGCATATTTTTTAGTAATTTTGCGTGATTTGAAATTTTGTATTTGGTACTTGTCAGTGAGATTATTAAATTCATTATATACATCAACCATTTTTACTTCTTCATTGTCAGATGTCTGTAATGATATACATTATATTATAGTAACTATTATAATAAATATTAACACTTTTATATTTCAATTTAGATCTTACTGTATTTCTTGGAAGTAGAAACATTCTTCTTTCAATATTTTTAACTACTACACAACAGCTTACATATGTATCAACATTAACAGGTTTTACTTTGCCAAAAAGAAATACAACTCCAGGTTGTTTGAACACGTCTTCAAATGCATCCAAGTAATAAAAACGAAAAACCTAAAATTAAATTATCCAAATTGTTATTTAATTAATAAATCATAGATATTAGTATTTTAATACAGTGAATACCACTTAATATGAAAGAAACTGATTATTTAACTAATATTAAATGATGGACACTGTATTACATATAAATACAAAGAAAAATAATGACAAACTTGAGTTCCATTCTTATCTGATGTCAAAGGCAGTTTAGAGGAAACGTCATGTGGTAAAGCAACTTGTTCTTCTTCTTTAACACTATTTAATTTTAAACAAAATTGAAAATATTGTAATAATAATATATTTTATAAGTTATAATATAATTATAGGATTTTATTTTAATAATTTTGAGTAAATTGTTTATTTGAATATCTATATGTAGGGTACAAACTATAAATAATACAAAATTGATGGGACCTAAAAAAATGAACTATATTTTATTCAAATTTTGTTCAGAGTTGTAATAATAATGTTACTCTAATAAAAATTTATAATATAACAACATAGTTTTATTAGTATGCTCATTTGGACCAATTCAGTGTAAATAAGTATAAATAAAAATATAAAATATCTTTAAATACCTACTAATTTAAATTTTAAATAAATATTATTGAATAGGTTTGAGGCTCATTCACTATCCAAATCAGTACTGTATGATCAGGGAGGTTTGTAACAGAAGCAGTGGCGTATTTACGGGGGGGGATCATTGGGTTTGATCCCCCCCCCAAGGCTTGAGTTGAGTTTTTTTTTTTTTTTTTTTAAATCTAAATTAGACGATAGTCCGGGAGCCGTCGAAAGAGTGAGGACTGAGGAGAGCGCGCGAGCAGCTGCTGGCTTATTTTGTAGTATTTCTGGACATTCTACTGGTAAAGAAAAATTTATCCTTGAAAAAAAAGGAGTAGAGAATAATATACAATCTTTATGTGCAACTATTCCTAAATTGTTATATAATGGATCATTAGAAATTAAATCTGCCAAGTTTGTTGATGCGCAATGCCTAGCATTAAAGTATGTTCCACCTGAATACATTTGGTTCTATAGATCTTTAGTTGAAGAAACCAGTTCTAATCAAGATAACAATGGTACTATATCCAATGATGAAGATGACTAGGTATTAAAAATTGTTACTCAGTTTTAATATTAATATTAAAGAAAATATATTTTAGAATATTAAGAAATCAAAATGATTATTAGTTTTGTTTTATTAATTTTATTGTTTTGAAGTATAATTTTGTTTAAGATTTCAAATTTGAATTATTATGAGTGATATTATTTATTATTTTTATTATAAAATTTAAGAATCGAGGAGATTATTAGTTTTGTTTTATTAATTTTATTGTTATGAAGTATAATTTTGTTTAAGATTTCAAATTTGAATTATTATGAGTGATATTATTTATTATTTTTATTATAAAATTTAAGAATCAAGGAGATCATTAGTTTTGTTTCAAATATTTTACTGTTTAACTATGATTGATAAAAAATCAAGTTAATTAATAGTTTTGTTATAAATATTTCATTGGTTTTTATTATTTTATTTGTTGTAAGATATTATATGTAATGACTGATAAAATCAAGCTGATAAATAAAATATCCATGTTACTAATATTTTTATTTTACTATCTTTTACTATGTTCATATCATTTATAATGTAGTTAAATGTGTTTACATTCTACTATGACTAATATTATTACCTATCGCTATCTTTAAGGTATGATAGCCAGTTTTTATGTAAAATTAAATGAATAACAATTTAATTTTTCAGTTAACATAATACTAAGTGGTTAAAGTAGAAATATTACTGAAGAATAAACAAAATTCATAAAGTAATATATTTAAACTATATATAGCTAAATATTATTAGTGGAAAAACTTATGACTTCTATACACTTACTAAGCTTATTTTAATAAATTTATTTGTATATTTATCAGAGTTAAAACTAAAAACAATAAATCATTTTTGGAGTTATCTTGTTTATTGTCCAGAAATTATAACTATTTTTTTGTTTATTTTTAAAATCATGTACAGGTTTAGTTTTTTTTTCTTAAAACTCAAGTATGCTGTTTGATAGTATAATTACATGATAATTATTAACTCAGTTAAATAAAAAAAACTAATTCTTAGTAAGATTTTTACATTATAAAAAAAATAAAAAAAAAAGATTTAATAACTCCGAGCAATAAACAAGACAACTCCAAGAAAAATTTCTTATTTGTGGCTAAAAGTGTAAAAAATATTCATGTATCAACTTAATTAAGGGTACCACAGTTTTTATCACTATTTTAAGTATATAAAATAATTTTTCTTTTTATTATTCTTCACTTAAATATATATTAAACATTAAATATGTGCTTCCTGAAAAAAATGATAAAACGGAGCTGTCTGGTTATTGCACAGAGCCCTTCAATTGTCCAAAACATCTAGAAAACTAGACTTTGTTTTGTAAAATAAAAATAAAAAAAATTGTAGTAAAATTGTAGTTTTATATTTAAGTATTTAAAGTTAGGGGGGTGAGGGGGGGCAGAGCCCCCCTCGAGTTCATAAGTACTGGATAAAATCATATCCCCCCCCCATGACAAAATCCTAAATACGCCACTGAACAGAAGTGTATATTACAATCTACCATTTTAGAAAGAAATATATTATTAATATTATTAAGGAGAGGTCTATTTTATAATTATTGCTTAAAAATTAAATTAGGGTCTCTCAGCATCAAATGTTTTGCTTTGTAAAAATAAAACTATACATAAATTACAAATTATTTAAAAATTAATAAAATAAAATTACTTTTCAATCGGCCACTTTGTATCTTCAAAGTCAATTTTAATTTCCGTTTTTGTTAACTCTTTTTTCACACTTAATTCTGTAAGTTCCATAAAACTTTTTTCCGCCTACATAAATTTGAAGGACCAGTTATAATTACAAATATACATACTAGTAAACTTGTTTTTTTTATGTAATATACCTGGATAGCTTCTTCAAAATCAAAATCTTCAATACAGTCATCCATACTTTCATCAAATAATTCTTGCTTTATGGAATTTTCCGTTGTCAATTCAGGCTGAAAATTTAATTAAAAAATGTTTTATTGATTTATATCACTAATTTGAATCTTATGGTCATCAACAATTCAATTTTATATAATACTTTTTTTATTGGTTCTGCATTAAGTTCTTTAGCTTGAGGAATGTTTTTATTTACATCATTGGAATCATTTAATTTAGAACTTGGACTTTCTATGTTTTCATCGGTATTTTCTGTTTTTATAATAATATTATTAACAGGTGTCCAAGGAGATTTTAACACAGTGGAAAATGATTCTAAATATCCTCTGTAAAACATTAATAATTAACATTTTGTTTTAACCCAAAAACTAAAAAATAATCAATCTGTTTTAGATTCTGTGGATTTCACATTGTTAAAATTATTCACAGACAATTTGAGTAATAACTTATATGTTTTAAATTATCCCATTTGGGCACATAGAAGAAACTACTTTAAGAAATGTTTGATGTCTGAAATATCAATATGATACTAAAAATTAGAATAATTTACTCCAATTTTACACCAATAATGAAAATCAATATACTCTACCTGGTTTGATTTTCTCTCTTTATTTTTTCTGTAACTTTATTATGAACTAATTGCGGAGTCCTCGTAATTCCTGGTTTATCTAATTCTTGAATTAAATCATCAAGAATATCATCTTCGTCTAAATTAACTGGCACCTTAGTGATTTTAAAGTAAGAACAAAAAAATATATTTTACACACGATATTATTGAAATAATAATTGGATAATAAATCCATTATGTTTGGATGAAGAATTAAAATTGAATTTATATAAACTTATTTTTAGAAATATGTATTATATTTAAACAAATAAAAATATAATGAAATAATATGAAGTTTTTGCTTTAAAATGCTGAGAACAACTAGGTACTGCAGTAACTGCTGTAACTTTAGTCAGTATGGAATTAAATTTGAAACATATTTTATGCTAAATTAAAATTGTTTAATATACGTACCTCTTTTTTTTTTTTTATAGGCATATTAGCAAACATTTTCTGGATATCCCTATTTGAAGAGGGAAGATCTTCATCAAAACTTTTATCAGCTCTACTTCTTTTTTTACCTCTTCCTTTTTTTTCTTCTTTGACAATAGATGCCTCGTCCAAATCATCATCAAAAATTTCTCTTCCATCTTCAACATATCCGTCAACATCATCTAGCAGAAAACAATTTAATAACAGAATATTTATACTATATATGAGATGCATAACATGATTATTGATTTGCATTTGTAATTTAAGTTATATTTATTTACAATCGTCAACAATCCAATTATCCTGTTGTCGTTTAACCACCCTATCTGTGTATTCTTGTTCTGAAATTTCTTCATATACATTTTGCATTGGTTCCACTTCATATTTATGCTTAGTTCCATCAGATTTGAGCTTTTTCAATTTTGCTAATGCTTCAAAACGACTTGTCTGCCCAGCTTTTTGTCGTTTTGGTCTTGATGTCTCTGTTTGGTATATAAATATAATATTATACTACCTAGATATATAAATCCATGAATCGCTTCCTCTAAAGTAAATTAAACTTACCTGGATTATCACTCATTTTTTAAATTAATTAAATAAAACTGTTCATTCGTGCACACAGTGGATATTGAAAATGTTGGTAAATGTTTAGTAATTAAAATATTTAATTTTTTATTGGTAATTGAAATGGTAAATACAATAAATTATTGCAAAAGCAAAAAGACAAAAAGTATTATTCATAATATTGATATTGTAGAATTGTACAATAAAAACACAACATAACCTATAACAACTAAGGATTTCCCGCCAATTGGCAGATTAAACAATATTATTTTTTAGTACAAAGCACGGACTAAGATATACAGGACACGAGATGAATACTGTGGTTACGAAATGTTTTACAACAGGCGGAGTTCGGGGGGATATTTTCCTTTTAGCATTACTAGCGCCGTCTTAGTGGATACTTATGGAACTAGAAATTTGTATGATGTGTTCTAGTTCCATAAGTATCCACTAGGACGGCGCTAGTAATGCTAAAAGGAAAATATCCCCCCGAACACTGCCTGTTGTAAAACATTTCGTAGTCAACCCCCCACACCCTCCAACCTTGTCGTGTCCAGTCCTGTATATCTTAGTCCGTGGTACAAAGTGTAACCACGGTTAATGATTGAAAATGAAACAGAAAAAAATTGTGTCGAATGGTGATACCACTTAAGAGATATCGATACTATTATTTGTGATAATATGCATGTTTGTTTATGTACAATGTTTATCATTAACCATGATTAATTATTATATAGTAATAATTGAGTATTCAGTTTTGTACTTACGTTTTTGGGTTTGATACTTATTGTATGTCTATTGACAATTTACTACAGGTTTGTACTCTTCGTTTTAGAATTTTAGATCATCACGATCCATTGATGAATGCACATATTTTGAAGATATTTCTTGGAGAATTTTTCCTTTAACTCGTTGTTTAATACTTGACCGTTTCGATCATCAACTACCTAATGGCATATTATATTATTATATTGTGATAAAGATATTTTGAACAAAACTTCACTATAAATGATTCAAAGTCATGGATTTGGATAAAACATTTGAAATGATGCAGGGAGAAAACGACAGTATTAAATCTGGTAAGGAATAAAAAAATTCTTATTTTTATTTTTATTTTGTACATCATAATAACTACAATAATTTTTTAATTGTAGAATTATTCTTTTTGATTGCCAAGTTTCTGAAGGATAGTCAATTCAACAATGCTTTTGAAGTAAGATATTTACATGAATATTTTTGATTATTTGATCTAAATACAATTTAGATTGATATGGATGTAAAGCATTCATAGTTTAAACATTAACTAATACATAACATTAAGGTTTAAAATTTACTCAATTTTTTTGTAATTCTATTTATTTGTTTTATTTTTTATTCATAGGCACTTAAATTGGATTTGAACGAATCAAATGTAAGATAAAACTTTGAAAAATTATAACTAAATTGTATTTTCAGTAAATACGTATTTTATTTTTAGATTCTACCAACACGTATTGATTTTTTAGGAGAAGAAAATCAGCAAACATTTGATGAACTGGTATTATATATTTATATATTATTATTTAAAATATTCATACAATATAAAAAACTTCCGATAACAAATTCATAGTAACAAAGACACTTCACCAGCAGTGTGACTTTTTACTTGTTGATTAAAGTTTATAAGGTCCTTAAAATAGATAGTTCTAATAATAAGCATTATATCTATTTCTAAAAATTCATGAATTTCCTCAAGTATACAATCAATTACTTTGTCACTACACATATGAGTTACCTGATATGAAATAATAATTAAAAATGTTATAAGTAAAAAAAATAAAGTTAAGCAAAATTTCACTTAGATAGGTACCTACTTGTTGAATACCTATACTTAATGAAATTCATGAGTTCTTGAAATGATGTTAAACTCTTATTATCAGTTAATCATAATGTTTTATTGCTCAATACGGTTAATGTACCAGGCAACCAATTTTTATGACATTTTTTTTTTTTGAAATTATAGTGTAAAAAACTACTGAAACCATTAATTTGAAGTTATGATTGTTAATAAGTTATAATTCAAATTTCATAACTTCACACAAATAAATTTATTTTAGGTTAGAATAAAGGTACATTTAGTGGTTTTCACTTGCTTCATAGTTGACTGCTCTGCCCCACAAAATGAAAACATTCCTCGATTTGGATTTGGTCACTGGGTAAAAAGTAATTTTTATGTCTGCAACTGGAGACCTGTCAAGGGCACTCATCCCTAAAGACAGTTTAAATTGTAAATATGTATAATACCTTGTGGGTTGTCGGTAGGACAAAGAATTATACCAATTACAAATTCATAACATCCATGTGTACATACTTAGAATCTACCAATATATAAATAGTAATGCTAATGCAACATAGCCACAAACATTAAATTGCTGTAACTTTTAAACTATTTGTTTATTAATACATTTTATTCTGAGAGAAACAATGAATGTACCTATTGATTTTACAATGATGTGTGTGTTAATATTTTTTTTGTACACGATAAATAGTCAAAATAATGCTTTGGTTTTTAACTTCAGTAACTTTTTTGGTAAGAAAGTGAATCTAGTCGCTACAATTAAGAGGTAAAAATTCCCAGTAGGTTTAAAAAGCGTCAGGAAACGTAATAAATTAATCTAGGAAAAATGGGAATATTTCTTGGAATCAATTATTTTTTTTGTGTTAGTAAACTAAAATGTTTACAACATTGGATATTCACTCGATTTCTCAAGTAGCTATTTTCTTATTTTGTTGTAATTCAAAAATGAACATTATATATTTGAAATTTATATCATTCCTATGTTTATTTTATCAATTCCTATACATGATAAAATTTTCAAAATATTTTGACTCATTTTCATTTTCAATTTTAATTTTTTTTAGTTTTTTTTTTATATAAATGTCAATAACATTTTATTTGTTGGGTCAAAAAGTTTGAAAATTTAAGTATATTATTATTTACTGTATACAAATATGATAATAAACAATTAATAATAATTCAACTTAATCTGCTACCGTATTAATAATAACAATATAAATATAATGTAAAATATCCTAGGCTGACAAACCGTCACTGCTCAGAATCGTTTTTCATATACAATAATATAACATTATCATTGAATTCAAATTTAATGACATCGAATGCAGGCACCCACCTGTAATTTGCTGTACAACAGAGTAACATTTTTTTTAAAATTATTAATGATGAACAATTTTTCACCGAGTGAAAAAATATGAAACTTTTAATTAAAAAAAAAATTTGAGTGTAAATTTACAATAGTTTTTTTATGAGGGGCTGAAATTAGTTTTAACAAAATTCCTCAAAATCACAAAAAATTGTAAATTATTTTCAATTGATAATTCATTAAAAATTTAGTTGCGGCAGATCCATGGCAGGGATTTTTTTGTTGTGGGGGGTGGCATGGAGGGGGGGAAAAGTACAAAAAGTACACACATTTGCTACAAAATTGGCTAAACGCAGTGTAAAACAAAGGGAAACTACTATGATTGTGGGAGGGGGGAAATTACCCCTTCGCCCTCCCTCTGGATCCACCACTGAATGTTAGTAGACACGAGCCTCTTAATGTCTTCTATGGATTTTAATATTAAAAAAAAACTGTAATTTTTATAGGCAAATTTTATTTGTTTTTTTAGTAAATCAAAAACAAATAATCTTAGATACTAGATACTTTACCAATTGTTTATATGACAATTTCCCATACAAGATAACATTTAAAAAATATTTTGACTCTTTTTGAACAATTGATGGTTATTTCTTTTAAATTTTCTTTTTCTATAAATGTCGGTAAAAATTGTTTTGCTTGTTCAAAAAGTTTGAAAATTTAATACAAAGTTTTTCCATAAATTGTTCATATACCAATTAAAAAATACCAAAATACTGTCGTACAAATTGTTTTTTTGTGTACGCATTTGGTGTTCAAACGTTGATAAAATTTATCAAAATCAACCTTTTCCAACAAGTGGGCTACATTAAAAATTTAAAAAAATTTAAAAATTTAATGTACCTAGTGATCGACCATTATTCGTTTAGACATATTATTTATATTATTACATGCAGCATAATAATATTCTTTTATTACAGTCACATAATAATTATATGTATATTATATTAAGGGGATAAAGAGTGGGTAAGTACTAAGTACTGAAATATATGGCATCATGGTTTATAAATGTTCAGTACTCCACTATATGTATGTCCCCATACAGTCCAATTAGATCCCTCTTTATTATTAAATGTACCTATATAAAATAGTTTTATGATCATAAATTATAGTTAATTAGGGCTTTTGATTAGCAAACATATTATAATTAGATAGAAAAATAATTTTTTATACTAATATACTATTTTTGATATATATTTTTTTTAGGAACGAAAATATAATCATATTAAATCAAATCACTTGTTAGACATTTGTAAACGTATCAGATTATTAAGCAACTATGAAAAATCCTCAGTTCCAGTGGTTTTCTCATTACTTGGAAAAGGAAGCTTTTCACTTGTTAATACACAAAGTACATTTTTCATAAACTATATTATTTGAATTAGTATTTAAAATACTTTTCTGTGTTCTAGAAAAACGTAAATACCTATCACTCGCCGATTGTATTACACGTCAACATAATGCTTTGCCATTGCCTCCTTTACATATTCGAGGTCAAAACATTGGTAATTATTTATAAATTGCACATCTGTCCCATTTATTTACTTAAATTATTTTTTCAGTTAAAGTGTTATTTGGTCGTGAAACGTCTGGTTCAGTTGATAAAAGGTATTTACTTCCTGTATCCAAATTTTCAAACGTGGAGTTTCATGGACGAGTTCTTGGCCATTTAACTGCTGTTTACTGTGTCTGTTTTGATACAACTGGAAGATATATAGCTACTGTATGTTACATATAAATGCAATTTAATATTATTTAACATTTTTATTTATTTCAGGGAGCTGATGATTATTTAGTTAAATTGTGGGAGGCTAAT